TGTTAATAAAACAAACTTGAATATGCTTAAATTGGTGTAAATACCACCCCCAACCTTTGCTCATTATAATTCTTCATTTGTTAAACTAGAAAAGATTATTGGGGAAAAATTCTATCGGGTCAGATTCACACTTTGTGTATCATTTCGGAGCATGCAGAAAATCAGTTGCAAAATTAAGACTGTTTTTAAAAAAATTGCTGAATTCTGAATGCTGTAAAATCCAACAAAATAAAGTATATCTAGGCCCAGGTGGAATTCTGTCCACATATGTTTTATTTATAGTAGACTTAGCTCCCTATGTCTTGTCCTTTCCTTTCACGTGAAAGGCGCTATGTAAATGTAAAGTTGTTGTCGTTGAAGATGTTTGCCTCCTTTTTCTTTCTATCGGGGTACTGTTATATGGGTGTTTGGTGCCTACTATTACCTTGCCGAAGTGACATTATTCATGTGTGCACCTTGAAATGAGTGTTGGACAGGTTTCCGACTACCGGAGCATTACATCCTGTCCCTGTGATCTTAGTTTTGAGACAGTTGTCTTAAAATTTAAGAATGCAGAATTTTTTAAAATTCTTAACTTCATTCTTGTATTGGTAGCCTGTATTCTGTAGTTCTTCAAGAACAACAGCTTGAACTTATACAACCTTATATAACGTTTCGCCCACAAAATATACAGTCAGTTCACTTTACAGTATATTCCGTGAAGCGCTTTGAGATGTCTTAAAGATGTGATAAGGTGCTACATCAAATGCAAGGATTATTATTATTTTATGCAGGAGAATGTCTCAAAGCTTTTTACAGAGAGTGTGCAATACCAAGCAGCGTAAGAAGAAGGGGAAAGTGACTGAAAGCATGGCTGAAGGAGTCAGTTTTTAGAAAAGGTTTGAAGACAACCAGAGAGCGAGGCAGAGAGATTTATGGGGTATGTTTCAGATTGAGGGCATTAAGGCTGGGAAGGTGTTGAGGGATTTGAAGATCAGAAATCTATGCACTGGACTGTGAGGAATTTTGGGCCTCAGATATCCATGCACTAATACTTTCCAGCAGGGATTTCTGGATAGAGATCAGGAGCAGAAACCCTGGATGATTTCGCCTTAGAATTATTGAAGGCAACTGGTGAGTTCTTACTGCAGCCTGGGGAGGAAGTTAATAATTCTGATTTCCAAATGAATAAGTCTAAATTCCACCTAGGTTTAGACTTGCTCTGTTTTCTTACCATTTCAGAAGATGCAAAATTTGTCAAATTCCTAATTTTGAAGCAGGGTTTCTGTAACTCTTTTTTTAAACAAACTGCACTTGGAAATTGTCTTGTCAGCTTTCTGAGTTAGATAATTGTAGAATGTTTATAGCACAGAGGGAGACCATTTGGACCGTTATGTTGGTGCTATTTGCTCAAATGTCATTCCACCTCTATTTCCCCACGCACTCTAAATTATTTTCCTCCTGTGTTTGCCCCAATTTCTTTTTAATATTGTTATTGACTCAGTTTCAGTAGCATTTGTGGTAAAACGTTCCATATTCTAATAAATCTCTGTGTGTGTGTAAAAAAAAGTCTTTCTATATGTGTCCTGTAAAACCAATTCATACTTTGGAAAATCTTTATTATATTCCCCTTAATTTCTAAACTTTTAAAGAAACAATGTTTTGAGGAAGTGTTTGTATTTTTAAACAGTTTGCAAGACCACATTTTGAAGTGCAGCCTAACCAGCCCAACAAGAAAAAACAAAAAACTTTTTCCATTAAGTAATTGACTATAAATATAACATAATCATATTACTGTGGAGTTAAGCTATTTGATCTCAGCACGTCTAGTCCTACAAAAGGCGTTTGGAATTTTATGGTCGAAAGTGTAAAGGACATCACTAGGTGAAATGCTGCAATAACAACTTTCCTGCACAGTGATGGCCCATGCCACTGAACTTTACAAAGAAAATTTGTTGAATTAATTCTTGCTGTTTAAATAGTCTCAGTAAAATTGACCACAGAATAAAATAATAAAGATGAAAATATTTTGATCGTGTTCTCTGCTGTGTGCCTCTTGAGTGAACAGCACTTTGTTAATTTATTTTGGCACAGATACACTACATCATAAGGAGCTTGTACTTTGTTCCATTCGGCACTTTCAGAAGCTGGTTATGTTCATACTTAGTTGTGGGAAAAAGTGGATTTTCACTGCTTCCTATGTTGAAGCAGCCTGCAAGTAATGAGTTATAATGGATTCGCCATATATCAAACGATTGTATTTTAGTGCGTGAAAATTGCATAGCATTGTTTTTATTAGCGTGTGTTGGAATGGAATCACCCACTGGAATAATGATGGCATTATTCTGGTTATCACATGAACATATTAAATAATTGTAATCTGGTTTAATGAAGAGCAATTAAAGAATTTTAGGAACTGTAGTGTTTACCAAACAAGTATACATGGGCTCCAATGTTTGTAATCCGAATGTGAGAGTTTAGAGCCATTGTACACCGTGATTTGTGTGCTCATTTTATAAAGTGCTTGCATTTTGTATTAGGGTTGGACCAACAATGCATTGAGTCGCACTGTGTTCGAATGCGGTTTTGCTGACACATAGGTATGGGAAGGTAGCTGGTGGACGGCAACTGTTTCTCCATAGTACCATAGGGAGGCAAAATCGGCAGGAGGATTGTGCCAGGATGCGATCAACCAGAGTGCCATTGGGAAACCTGCTCTTGGCTGCTGTTGCTATTTTCTTTGGGAGGTGATGAGGGAGAAAAGAAAGGAAGTTGCGTGAGGAGTTTATTTTTAAAAATTTGGTACATTTAATATGAAAAATAATTTATTACTGTGTTGCTATCAAATGCTTTATGTTCCTTGAAGCTCTGATATTTCGAAAAGGAGAGCCGACGGGCCTATGTCCAGGAATTGTTACACTGATTGTTCAGTGTTTTGAGATGCAGGATTCTGTCACTGAAAATAAAATCCATGACTGTCTGTGGGCCACTGCTGTCCTCAATTGGATGCCGCGTTTCGTCCACAGAAACATTTCTCGCAATGGAAGGAGGTGTGCAGCGGTGTCCCCCAGGGATTGGTATTGGGACCACTGCTCTTTCTAATATATATTAATGATCTGGACTTGGGCATAGGGAGCACTATTTCCAAGTTTGCAGATGATACCAAGTTAGGTAGGGTAGTAACCAGTGAAGAAGATTGTGACGGACTGCAGGCAGACATACACAGAATGGTGGAATGGGCTGACATGTGGCAGATGGATTTCAATGTAGATAAGTGTGAGGTGATACACTTAGGTAGTAAAAATGATAGGAGGCAATATAGGCTTGGTAGCTCAATCTTAAGGGGGGTGAACGTACAGAGAGATCTGGGCGTTCAAGTAAGCGATTCATTGAAGGTGGCAGAGCAGGTAGATAGGGCAGTAAAAAGGGCATTTGGTGTACTGAGCTTCATTAGTAGGGGCATAGATTATAAGAGTAGGGAGGTTATGCTTAATCTGTACAAAACACTGGTTAGGCCTCAGCTGGAGTACTGCGTCCAGTTCTGGGCACCTTACCTCAGGAAGGATATTAAGGCACTGGAAAGGGTGCAGAGGAGATCACGAGAATGATACCAGGAATGGGGAACCTCAGCTATGAGGACAGGCTGGAGAAGTTAGGACTTTTCCCATTAGAGCAGAGAAGGTTATGCGGGAACCTGATAGAGATATTCAAGATCATGAAAGGTTTCGACAGGCTAGATAAGGAAAAGCTGTTTCCGCTGATAGGTGTGTCTGTGACTCGTGATCACAGTCTTAAGATATCTACCAAAAGAAGCAGAGGGGAGGTTAGAAGAATTTTTTTCACTCAGCGAGTTGTTCGAATTTGGAATGATCTGCCTGAAAGGGCAGTGAAGTCCGATTCGATAACAGCTTTTAAGAGAGAACTGGATAGGTATCTGGGGAAGACGGGTTTGCAGGGTTATGGGGAGAAAGCTGGTGAGTGGGGTTAATAAAAGTCAGTTGCTCTGTCAAAGAGCCGGCACAGACTCGATGGGCCGAATGGCCTCCTTCTGTGCCGTAACATTCTAACATTCAAGAATACAGTCAATTAATTTTACCGTATATTCTGTGAAGATACAGAATATACAGATGCAGAAGATGTGATAAAGTGCTATATCAAATGCAAGAATTATTATTTTATTTATTATTAAATCAGAAAATACTGTTCATTGAGCAGAAACCTTGTTATGCCTGTTTACTTGCAGAAGGTGCATTCTCACTGTATTTGTCTCTCATGTTTGTTAACTGAATGATCCATATCATCACAACCTGGATGTATAAAAGGATTGTTTATTATTTTCAGGTTATTTATCATTTAAACTTTTAAATAGTTGCTGTTCAATGAGTAGGATAAAGATTAATTCCCTCACATTTTCCAAGCCTGCATCAGATTTGTTCCAGCAATAATGTGGAGTCCTGTAGCTCAGTGGTTAGAGCACTTGCTTTACAAGCGAGAGACCTGAGTTCAATTCCAGGCAGAGCGAAACCTTGGGCAAGTTTTCTTACTCCACACACCTAATAATAAACCCTCCAAAACCCAAAAAAAAAAAAAAATTGTTCATTTTCAATCTACGATTGTTTGTGGGACATTGCTGTGCGCAATTGGCTGCCGCGTTCACCCACAAATATAGTCAATTCACTTTACAGTGTGTTCTGTGAAGCGCTTTGGGACGTCCTCCAGACGTGAAAAGCGCTATATCAAATGCAAGGATTATTATTATTATTATTATTACTTTAGTTTACGTTACATAATGTTCTCTTGTAGATAGTTAAATAAATAATCTGTCTTTGACTGTTAACCTATTGTTTTTCAGCAAAAACACTACACCTGTTCATAACGGGAGCTACTTGTGTCCAGCATGAAATGATTTTGACAAAATCGTTTAGTTTGCCAAACAATAATTGATATTTTACCCTTTGCAAGATGCTTGCATGCACTTGAACGATGTATTCTGACATTATTTTGCTTCGATTTTCTTTCAGTGCCTTTCTCGAGATGCAGCAGGAAATATGAAAATTCAATACCTGGGCACGGTGGTAAGAAAAACACCTCTTATTTAAAGCCTTTTTTGTCTAACTAATGACTATTCTCAGATGGGGTGGAGGTATGCAGGATCTCCTCTTGGAGCTGAACTGGCTCTAAGGTGCCATGCATGACAATGGAATGTCAGAATCAATCCCACCCTCAGTGGTGGTCTCGGTTGAATAGTTCCTGAGTCGGGATGCTTCGCAGTATTATAGGGCACTGCTCATGACAGCACAGCCAGTCAGACTCATTGGCAGGATCTGGAAGGGCAGATCAGTCACTGTGGAATGGATTCTTTCCACTAAGCTGCTGTTAGCCCTGCAAGCCAAAGCCCTAATGGGTAGGGAGGTCCCAGCTACCAAGTTGCAGGAAAGCTTACCAGACAGTGTTTTCAATGGCAAGCTAAGCAATTTTAGTTGGTTAGACCAGCAGTATCCCATTGCACACTCTGGGTCCCAAGCCTTGGCTACTACCAACCTGTGGCTAATACTCTACGGAGAGAGTGCACATTCCACTCCAACAAATATCTCAGGAATTTCCATGTATAGGTTTGAAATGAACCTCTTAAGCATGATGATTGGTTTCCGCGTGTGTCAGAAACCCAGCTGGTGGATTAATAAACCCGTATTTTTCACAATCAACACAACTCAAACTATATTTGAATTTACACATAAATCAATTATAATTTATGTCTCTAATACTTAACCGCCGCATATGTTTGTCTAATTCTCTCCTACCTCCCATTGGTGTATCAGCCTAGCTACACTCGCCTCTGAATCAGAAGGATGTGGGTTCAAACCGCACGTTGGGACTTAGAATCACATGGTCCAAACTGACCCTCCAATGTAGATGCCCTGATGACAGCTCAAACTATATTTGAATTATTTCTACCGATTCACGTAGAGAAATGATTTATACCTCTTCGGAAAGGTCTTGCTTTGGGAAGTGTCATGGGTATATTTTCCTAACGTTGATGAAGTATGACCTAAACAAGCTTATCACACATGTATGGAAGTTTTGCTTAAGGTGTACCCACAGTATTTATGGCATGGTTTGTGAGTGGTATCACCAAAATCTACATTCCATATTGGATCCTTTGGTTGCAAGCGAAGCTGCAACGAATACAGCTTCTATCTAATAAGCTCAGTATTTTGGGGACTACGAAAATGATTACTTGAACAAGTCTATTTTGCCCACAATTATACGGTTAATTCACTTTACAGCCTATTCTGTGAAGCGCTTTGAGACGTCGAGAAGACGTGAAAAGCGCTGTATCAAATGCAAGGATTGTTGTTATTATTTAGAATTACAGTAATCCACACAGGACAAAAAAGGTCCAGGTATAAATCCTAGTCTACTGAGGTAACTGATCTCAAGAAGGTAATGGGGATTCACTGTTCGTAGAAATGTATGATGTAGTGGAAGGATATTTGGTCCATTTTTTCATGTCAGTGTTTGCTCCTCCAGGAAACCATCTATCCTGATACCAATTCTCTGTTCTTTCCCCAAATCCTCTAATACTTTACCGCTGCATATGTTTGTCTAATTCTCTCCTACCTCCCGTCGGTGTGTCAGCCTAGCTACACTTGCCTCTGAATCAGACGGTTGTGGGTTCAAACCACACGTTGGGACTTGGAATCACATGGTCTAAACTGACCCTCCAATGTAGATGCCCTGATGATAATAATAATAATAATCCTTGCATTTGATATAGCGCTTTTAACGTCTTCTAGACGTCCCAAAGCGCTTCACAGAATATACTGTAAAGTGAATTGACTGTATATTTGTGGGCGAACGCGGCAGCCAATTGCGCACAGCAGTGTCCCACAAAGAGTCGTGGATTGAAAATGACCCATTTATTATTGTTTTATTTTGGAGGGATTATTATTCGGTGTGTGGAAGTAAGGAAACTTGCCCAAGATTTCGCTCTGCCTGGAATTGAACTCAGGTTTCTCACTTGCAAAGCGAGTTGTCATAAAGCGCTATATAAATTGCTATTATTATTATTTATTATTATCGACTCTGCTCTAACAGTCACCCCTGGAAATGTATTCTATGCCCTGATGATTGTCTGGGAGAAAAATGTATATAAGAACAAAAATCACAGATTCCTAAGGCACACTACTAAATGCTCTCCACCAATTGGAAGAATATCCCATAATTCATACTCTGTAACCTGTCCTTCAGATGTTTCATCCTTCAAGGTCCAGTTGGAGTATGTCATCCAACTTAGTTGGATAGACTCTTCTCTCAGAATGAGAAGCTCATAGGTTCATGCTTCATTTTGGGACGTAGGACACACAAAGCCTAGGCTGGCACTCCAGAGCAGTGTTGGAAAATGCACTGCATTATTCTGTCCTTTGGATATGATGTTAAACCAAAGTCCCAACTACATGTTCAGGTGGATGTTAAAGATTCCATGACACCATTTGAAAAAAGGAGGGAGTTTCTCCTGAATTTTTGCCTTTGTACTTTGTAGGGGAATGCACACAGCAATCTCACACAACAAATTGGCTGCTGTGTTCATCTGCAAAATTCAGAGTCACTACATTTTACAGTAAATCCTGTGACATGCTCCTGACATAAGAGTGCTACAGGTATATAAAATATAAAGATTATCATTATTCTTCTGTCCATTTTGCAACCTTTCCATCTATTCCATGTGTGTTAATTTTATCTGCAAACTGGGGAGCTATGAAAAAAGATTCCTGCTACTGATCGCTATTTAGTGTTTCCCTTCTGGTTGTATTTGTAGGATTAGCTTGAGTTTGGTACATTGCAGTCTCTCATCTCTGCCCCCTCCCCACCACCCTTCCTCCTCCTGCTTCCCCCACCACCCCCCCCCCAAAAAAAAAGTGTCAGTGCTCACTGTCTATTGTCAATTGAATACTATAATAATATAATAATAATACTGTCATTTGAGTGAGAATGCCAATACTTTGGAAACTGCGAATAGGGTCAGTGATACTGACAGTTCTTGTTCATTTTGCACTATTTAGTGTGAGAGTTGGGGTTAGAAGGGTCTGGATTTATATCCAGTAGATATATTGTGGCCTAAACGTTTTAGATGATAAAATAAGTAAAGTCAAAAAAATCCTCCTGAGGGAATTACTGTACACCTGCCTGACTGTTGATGGGTCTACCTAGATTTAACTTGGCTTTGAGAAAACATATCTATCTAAAGCAGATTTGTGTATATAGACTTATCCTCAAGTCTACAAGCTAAAGCCCTGGAGGATGGTCCTAGGTGGACATGTACTGTACTGTATGGCTACCATTCAATGCCCAAGCCCTTAAACTATGTTTCTACTCTAACCCATCTCTGTGATGACTGTTCACCATCATGAATCCTCTAGCTCACAGGATTGGGCGGACTCCGAGATTGCTACTGTTAATGTTGCTTTCTGATTCTTTGATTTGTTGCGAGTTTATTTGGACCTTCTTTCTTGTTACCTCAAAGTGAATGCACTTATTGAGTGCAGCAGATTGAAGTGATACTGTGCCCTAGGTCTCAGAGGTGTGATCTATTGGTTAATTGGAAATGTCTGAACTATAACAACAACAAGCATTTCTGTCAAGTGCTTTCACTTTTAAAGTTAAGCAGATATTTCCTGAAGCAGCATTGAAATGCTGGGATCTGTGATTCACTGCACAGAAGGGCTGCTCAATAGCTGCAGAATCTGTTTTGGGGGCAAATCTATTTTACAGAGTGGAGGGGAAATATTCATTCACAACAGTTAGCAATGAGCTGTCCACGAAGCAGGGAGCAGAATGTCCCACAAGGTGATAATCATTACTGGTGATAATTATCATATCACATGCTGCATTACTGCACCCAGTACAATGTAAAATGTAATGTAAAACGATTAGAAAAAAAATTCTCCCTGCAATATTCTAATTTTCTACATAATTATGGGCTTAAATTCTGTATTTGCAATGACAATTGCATTTTTAATTCACTGACTTAAACTGTAAACTGACTTTATACTTGTATTAATTCTGTTTGATTTTTGGTTTTATTATAATGTGAATGTCATTGGATATCGATCTCTCTGATGAAGCTTTTCCAAGAGAATTCTGTTGTTGTCTGGGGCTTTGGTATTCTTTTCAGACATGAATTCCACTCAGGTTTCTAGGGCCAGCATGATGCTACTTAGCACATATTCCGCTGACCTTTAACGTAAGGTGTCTGATTGTAAATTAAGTCATGGTGCCAGTTATGAGGTTGTCAGCTGGGTTATAATGAATCACTTGATTTTCTGACACAGGTTGGCAAACATAACTTTCCTGTTAGGGTTTTGATGATTGCTGAGGCACAGCTTTAATCTCAAATAAATACTGTAGTTGATTTGTTCTCTTACCTGTATTAGTATTTTGTGTATCTTTTATAACTGAAAAATACCTTTAGGGATTTATTATTAAAGTGCTCAATATTTGTTCATCTTAAGTAATTGAAGTAGATAATGTCTGTATTTCTTTTAAAATATATATGTTTGTGTTTGATTGATATATATAATATATATGGGGTATATATCCATGTATAATATCCATCAAATCAATAACTATTTGCTTTCTGTTTCAGTATTAACTAAAGGTTGCACCTGGTGAATTAAAGAATCTTACTTTCTTTTTTGCTTTATGTATTTTGATGCTTATGGAGAAGGATGACGGAGCTGGAAAATGGAACATCTTTCCTCTCGCACACAGTGACAGCATCAAATAGTCTCAGGTCAGATATAGTGCAGGTTAGATGCAGGGTAAAGCTCCTCCTATGCTGGTCCTATGATGCTACTTGACCCACCCCGAGAAGGGTACCCCCTAGTGCAATTGTCAGACATTCTCATTTACATGATCAACTCTCATACCTGGTTTACATTTGACAGCTTAATACTGGAATGAAGCTGGCATTCCTGCATATTGAAGTTTTCTGCAAATTGTGAAGCCTCCAAATTCATGCTGTACATTCGTATTGACAATATTATGTGAATGGCCAAACCAATATCTAAAGTCT